TGTTCACAGTTGGTTAGTTTTTGGAGGATGGTTCTTCGGAGAAATTGGCCACATTTTCGTTTTACAGGTACCTTTGGACGGAAACTAAACAAGTCAAGACGTTCTCTCTTTGCACTCTCCCCTGGTAGTCCTCTTCAGAGGGCTTTTTGAATTGAACTGGAGGAATCTCTGGCAATCACGTGTACAGGAGAAATTTCATCAGTGCTGGATGTTATCTGCAGTCAATAGGGTGCGCCGCGATCATTTTTTGCTGTCAATTCTAATGTGGAAGCTATGGAAAGTAACGTATGAAGCATTCTATTCGGTTCGCACAGGGAAATTCTTTGTTCTGCTCGTGATAGGCAGGGGCGAAGGTGCCGACAATTCAGTTCGAAAGCCTTGGAGGAACGAAAAATATCGAAGTAACGGAGGTTGTACTGGGACCAATACATGTTGGTAATTGAAAAACGATAAGTAGCTGCAATCCGAGAGCAGTGACATCAGCTAGCTAACAGTTATACAAACTAAATTTTAAGTGTAAGGAAGCACTTAGGAGACAGTATCCCAAACCGCGTAGACTTGATTAGCTCCTAGTGTACACAGTACCACCCAGTTCTAGCCTAAACAGCACCTGAACGCGCGTGAAAATCGCAATTAGCGTCGCACTCGTTTGCTGGCCTCACCCTGGAGCTTCCTACGCTTCCCCTTCATCTCAAGGCATATAACAGAGGCTAATAAACCTGGTGACTGAACCCGTCCACAGTATGCCTAACTGTGTGCATTCACGGAGCTGGAACGTTTAGATTTACGCGCAGTTTTGTAGTACTATATCCCTCCTATTTTGCTAAACCCATACTCTTCTTTTATACAACGCGTAGGTACGTGAAATGCGTCACGAAGTACTGGGTTAACCAGTGACGGGTCATGTTTACTCACTGCCCGAACAAGGTAACAGTCCCCGGAACCAGGGCACGCCATCGCGTTGTGATCATTTCCTGAAAAATACGACCCCCTAATTCCATCCTCAAATACGACCCCCTCCCCATGTTACCTACCACTTTCCTAGATTTTCCCAACTTCCTAACTTTTTTTTTTCCCGAAAAATTTACGGGATTTAAAGTCGTCATCCTTGCACTTAAGTCAAAATGTCAGTGGGCTTGCGTGCGGCGCGGTCGCCCGCACCCGTACTGCACCAATCGTTGAACCAGGAAGTGACATTACTGTATTATATCCTTCGTGTTACTCGTTTTCTATCACTTTTTGTCGCATACGCGTTTCAACGAAAAGGCTGAGAAGGCTTCAAACAGTGTGCACGCTCCTTCTCGCCGACACGCCCCTATCAAGTGCAAGGATGACGACTGTAATAATCATCCTTCAAACTGTTCGGAAATAAAGTTTAATAGATCATTTTGCAGTCTCTCCAACTACGACCAATACGACCCCCCTCCCTTATACGAAGAAATCACCTGTTTCAAAGTTTTTCCTGACCAAATACGAACCCCTCCCTCGGTCAACTAGGACCGCCCCCCCCAATGTGATCATCACAACGATGGCGTGCCCTGCCCAGAACACGAACATGGATAACTCATGTTGAATCATTATATTAGTTGAGAGCTAAAAGGAGATCATGCACAAATGTATCGAGGCAACTTTCCCTTTGACGATGTAGGCGCAGTCACTTGGACCGCTGTGTTCTTCCCATTGGTGAGCGTTACCGTACCGGAGGGCTCACCAGTGAGGGAGGCTTAGTGGTCTGAGTGATTCCGCCCGCATGATTGGCGTGGATTGCTCCTCCAAGATCCTGACGCGCCTTGATGTCCAGCTACATACACTCTTTCTCTTGTAACCCACCTTTTTTTATAGGTACGTTCACAAATTTGCTCTGATCGTAAGTTGGACGTTCACCAGTGAACTTCAGCAGAGCACTTCCATCTGTTTTGTGAGTTCTTCTGAAACGGTAGTCAACGGCTGATCCTGTAATTAATCCAGTCAATCCATAGTCCAGAGGTCAATCAGAAACCGCCTATTACTCGACGCACTTTTGTGACTTCCAGGAATAAATGCTAAGCAGCCGTTCTCTTCGTCCGCATCGTCAACAGCAATCCAGATGCCGATAAGATGATCAATCGGTTCCACGTAGAGAAAGGTGGCATCAATGTGATCAGTGACTGCACCACCAATCTTCGGCTGCTGAAGGAACTGATTTCGCTCGGGTTAGCTGAATCACACGAGTATGGGGAAGGAATTTTTGATTTACAAATCAATCAGAATCTTAGGTCACCACATGCAAAGAAAAGCAGAAGCAAACTGGGCTCTCCTGTACCTCCTTTACTATGTCTGGAACATTCTAATTACAGATGTGATATTCGTGTACAGGAGGTCAAACTACCCCTGGACACAAGTTTCCAGCTTTTGGAATCAGGGTTATTTCAACGCCAAGTTTCGGGTCAAGTGGATGTGATATTCGTGTTGAGGAGGTCAAGCTATCCCAGGAGGCAACTTTTAAGCCAATTCTGCCCACGTAGAAAAAACTGATGAAAAAGTGGGCTGATTTCGGATGATCGGGGAAGTAGAGAGTAAATAGTGCCAAATATGTCTCTAAACAATTGAAAACATCCGAAATCAGCTCACTTTTTCATCACTTTTTTCTACGCCAGAATTGCCTTAAAAGTTGCCTCCTGGGATAGCTTGACCTTCTCAAGCCCGGATATCACATCCACTTGACCCGAAAACTTGGCGTTGAAATAACCCTGATTCCAAAAGCTGGAAACTGTCTCCGAGGGGTAGTTTGACCTTCTTGCTTCACGAAATATTCACATCTGTAATGAGATGTCAGACATAGCGAAGGAAAAGGAGAGCCCAGTTTGCTTCTGCTTTTCTGCACGTTTCCCTCCAGATAGTGGGTCCATTCCCCTGCTAAGTCTGAGCCTTAGTAAAAGGAAGGATCATGGGCAACCAGGAAGAGGAAGAGGGCTGCGTTCGTTCCCCCTTTCGCTAATTGTCCTAGCACATGATCCGACCGGAGTCTGTGCTAGACGCGCCTCAGGTCGAAACAAGCATATGATGAGCGCTTGCTGACGTATGCATCGGACAGTTTCAGACTAACATGGATGGATATTCGTTGTTTGGGAGGCTTAAGGTAACCTCATTAGACTTTACTTCTGACAACTGGACTTTAACTCCTGGTAGTGGTGAAAATCGGCACAGGTTTTTCAAATCAGACGTCATAAGAGGAAAGTGCGCTGCTCAAATTTGACCTGCGCCGGACCATAGTTGTGTGTAAGGGTGTTCTCGAAACACACGGTGGAAGATTTGGTTCAGGAGCCCGTACAAGGAAGAAAGGAAAAATTTGTTGTCGTGGATGATCCCATAATATTCATCCTGCACAAAGAAACGGCTGAGTGGTATTGAAGTCAGGCCCTGAATATCTGATCACAGAGGCTCGACTGTTTTGTCGGTTTCCCGCGCAGACTGACATCCCCTGCTGCAATTGCGCTGCTACGTGTTATGACCGATAAACTGAGGATGGTCAAGGGGGTGTGCGCATGGGTACCCAATTTTCTTATAGAAGACGAACGCAGTACCAATTCTATATCTCTAGCAGTAATATTCTCAGCATGAGATGTCACTCACAACTGTGAAAACGCACAGACCTTTTAGATTGAAATTGGTGTGGTTCTGGACCTCGAGCCGAAACTCACAATCGTCAATTTTGTATGAATGCAGATGAGAAGCCGCCCGAGTTCTACCATGAAGAGTTACGTGGGCGCAAGTGGATGATCATCATAGCAAAGGATTCCCACACTGTGGCTTTCAAGCGGCTCTATACAGAGACAAATCCGTCACTGTCGGTGCATATTGCCTGTTCCTCGGCATTCAGATCGACAAATGGATGCTACCACACAACTACAAGAAGGCCACCGTTGCTCGTCATAGTACCAGACCCCGAGTAACTGTATTGTAGATCAGTGCTGGGACACAAACAATACTGAGACCTGAGTTCAATCGCCCCATTCGCCCGTCATAAAGCCATGCGATTACAACTGTTCTATTCAGTTGAGAGTACTCTCCGACGGCAGACGCTACAATGTTTTGTCATTTGCAGAAATTGGCAATAACAGCAATTTACCCACCACTAATCGAAGGTACCAGCCAGAGTCCAAAGGCCCTCGGGGCACTGGGAGCGGGTCATTGGTGAAGGAGGGATTTACTCATCCTGAAGCTAAAATATCACTTTTCTATCTATTCTCCTCTTTGTTTTATTCAAATAAAACCGGCGGCACGTTTGAATGGGATGACCTAATAGTTCACGGCACGGGAGAGAAAAGCCAATCGCTAGAAGCATCCCAGGGCTTTAGACGTTGGTCGTTGTGGTGTATATTAGCTGAGACAATATAGAAGAAAATTTCTGAGTACTATCTGGCACGTTTCTTTCTGGGAGCGGGCAGTAGCTGCGTCATTTGTCGTTTTGCAACACGTCTTCAAAGGAGCTGCTAATATTTAGGAGCCTTGTTCCGACCACTTTCGGCCATTTTGTTCCGCTTTCGCTTCACTTTTGCACTAGCTTCACCAGTTCTATTTTCTATGTGTCTGCTGGTAGCCATGTGTACTCGGGTGCTCATCGCCTTTTAAGCGACTTTGCTTTGCGTTGGTGACCTAAGATTCTGATTGATTTGTAAATCAAAAATTCCTTCCCCATACTCGTGTGATTCAGCTAACCCGAGCGAAATCAGTTCCTTCAGCAGCCGAAGATTGGTGGTGCAGTCACTGATCACATTGATGCCACCTTTCTCTACGTGGAACCGATTGATCATCTTATCGGCATCTGGATTGCTGTTGACGATGCGGACGAAGAGAACGGCTGCTTAGCATTTATTCCTGGAAGTCACAAAAGTGCGTCGAGTAATAGGCGGTTTCTGATTGACCTCTGGACTATGGATTGACTGGATTAATTACAGGATCAGCCGTTGACTACCGTTTCAGAAGAACTCACAAAACAGATGGAAGTGCTCTGCTGAAGTTCACTGGTGAACGTCCAACTTACGATCAGAGCAAATTTGTGAACGTACCTATAAAAAAAGGTGGGTTACAAGAGAAAGAGTGTATGTAGCTGGACATCAAGGCGCGTCAGGATCTTGGAGGAGCAATCCACGCCAATCATGCGGGCGGAATCACTCAGACCACTAAGCCTCCCTCACTGGTGAGCCCTCCGGTACGGTAACGCTCACCAATGGG